GTGAGCAAACGGGTTGTGTGGGGTTGGCTTCCAGACAAGGGCAAACCCATCACAGCAGTGAAGTTCTATGAGGAGCTGTTATTAGAATTCAACTCGGGCAGGTGCAAAAAAAAAAAAAAAATTCTTACTGATAAGGTATGCACCACTAACTACAAAATGGATGCAGACTGATCATCGTAGGGTCATGGAGCAGACAGAGGTCATTCTCCCGATGTGAGTTGCTTGGCAAGAGTAAGGGGGAGGGAAAGAAAGAGATGGTTTGTTTTCTGGAAGAGTTCTTGTAGGTGAAACAGCTGAATGCCAGTTTTCACTAAGACCGTTCCTTAGAACTGGTAACTGAAAACACAGCCTAGGTTAAAGGAAAAAAAATTGATTCCAGCTGCATTTTGAGAAGAAAGCAAGTTTTAATTACTTTGGAATTCAGGTTTTAGTTGAGATCTGTTCTCTAAACACACAAATTTTTATCCTATGTCGGTAGGTAACTAAGCCAGTGATTTTAAGGGTAGTCTTTTGGGAGTGTGTACAAGATCAATCCGTGTATAATCCTTGCCAGTCAGACATCACCACTACAGGGTACCTGGTGTGCACCTGTTCTGTGTCCATCTCCTGAGAGCACTTTGTACTCTTTTTTTCTCTGATTCTCAGTATCAAAGAGTCCCCTCATATGATTCACATTACCACTGGAGTGCACTTCTTATAAAGCCAAGATGTTTAACAACAATATTAAGAAGACTGACATGAAACATTGCTTACATGAATCCATGAGGAGTTCCTCTGTTAGCCCAGTTTACCATATAGTTCTTATTTTAGCGCAATCTTTATTATTTTTCTTTGGATAGTTCTTTATCCATCTTACAGTTCATTCACATCTTCTCCATCGTATAATTTCTCACGTGATACTGAAACGAGTCCTTCAACATCACCTAGGTTTATTTATCAAGTGATTGATCAAGTACATTTCCTTTGCTCTGGGTAGCTGGTTGTCTTATACAAGAACCAGTGGGTTAGTAGGTCACTTTGTATTTTTGTCTGCTTTTTATTTCAATTGTTTTCAAGATAGATCTTGAAAGATATGTATATAGTAGAGAAGTTCATTTTTACATATATGTAATGTGAATTTCTGTTTTTTAATTAAGCATATAAGACACAAGGAGTCACAAAATAATTTATTTTTACAGCTTCTTTTAGTCACCAAAGAAAATAAGCTTATCTGAATATGGAAGGGATTAATATGAAAAAAAAATGAGTTATGGTGTGAAAATTAGCAGACTGCAGGGAAGGACTGTGTCAACCAAAATTGCTAGACATTTGTTTATTTATTCATTTAGCAAAGTTTGGAGAGAAAAAAAAAAAACCACAAAACAAAACAAAGAGCTTGTGTGTTGCAATAGTATTAGGGGAAGTGACTGTTGAAATCAGAGTATAAATGCTCTGCAAGGTCAGTCCCTGGAGCAGTTAGTGAGTAAAACAGGAGTGGAAATAACATAAAGTAGTCGAGAAAAATAGGCTACGATACTAAATGTCTTTGCTGAGTTTCTGAATCGCTAGGATGTCGTTCCTGGGCTATACAACTCTGCTCTTATGTTGGGTGTATTGTACTGCAGAAAGAGGTAAGCTTTAATGTGGGGGGGAAAAAACCCCACACCAAACCTTTCTTAAAGTGTTTGTGAAGATGGTAACTAAAACAATATGTAAATAAAATGTTTGCATTGTAACCTATTTTAATGAACTGACAACAATAACTGGCATTTCTTCTGGCAGTATTTAGCACCTTTAGTGTTTAATATCCTGTCATAAGTATTATTTCACCTATCTATTTGAGGAGCTACTGCTGTTGTTAATCTGTTGCACAACTTCTTCAATGATTAGTATCCCTATAAACAAGAGCCAGACAACTCATTTTTTTACTAATTATGTTTGTTAATTATTCTAACATCTAAAACCTGTAAACAGCTGTCAGATTAAAACAGAAAATATTCAATAAATGTGCATTTCTTTCTGTCTGGAGTAATCTATGATATAATCTGAGAAAGAGGAATGATTACTAAATTGACTGTAAAGCTTGCAAAATATCTGTTGACTGACAAGACTGTTTTTAATCCATTAATTGAGGTGAATGTATATAGGTATGCCTTCATACATATTTAAAGAAGTAGCTAGTATTCTGGGCTAGTATTCAGAAGTCTTTGGTATTTTGTGCTTCACTGTTCAATGTATTTGTCTTGATATTGTGCTTATGTTGTTTAACGTATGTTTAGTAATTTAATTCTTTTGCTTTCTGCCTGGGTTTGTCTAGACTGTTGCAGAAAGGGTACTATGTGGTTTTGAGCTAGTGTGTCTTTGCTTGGTTCAGGTTGTTTTTGAGTTTTGGTGAAGATTATGAATACCTAATGAACCAAAACAATCTGATGGATTTTACTTTTAAAAACTGAAAAATCAGGACATTAATGAAATTTATTTTTTATATATGCTTATAATAACTACTGCTTCAAAGCAACTAATAAAGTCTAATTTGTTTGCAAAGAGGTTGAGAAAAGTCCTAGAAAGAAAGTTTGCTTGAATTTGCACTTGCTTTTCACAGTGCTTTCTTTAGATCAGAGAGATTACAAAGGAATGTGAATGGAGCAATATTTGATTTATCCAGGACAACTATTACCATGGGTTATGCAGGGTTCTTAGTTCAAGCTTCATATTGAAAGTCTATTATGTGAGTTGTTCAAGAGCTGGTTTTGCACAAGGGCTGAAAAATACTTCTAGCAGTATTTGTAGTTTGTGCTTGACTTTATGGAAGTTTCTAGCAGCATAATGATGGCACGAAAGCAGTTTGAGCTGTTTCTAACTGAGGTCAAGTCATATATAAATACTAAATGATTAATTCCTGGTCTCTCACTAAAGGACTTGAAGATATGCATTTAGTGCATGCTTTCTAACATAAAAATAAACCCCTCCCAATTTTGGTGAATACACATGGTGAGTGCTTGTTGTAATTAATATAGTTTTGAAGCACATCCTGTCAGCATATTTCTTCGTCTCAAGCTACTAAAAAACTGCATTAAAAAAAATAATCAGCTGTAGTCAGAAATACATATACATACTGTGACACTTGGTGGCTGATGGCAACACATAGTTTGACATCAGGGCAGGAGCAGTAAAGAACAGTCAGAGAGAGCTGAAGTAAAACCCAGAAAGAGCATGTCTTAGTAATGATGAAGAGACTATCAGAAGATTATCTTTTGTGCTTTTTTTTTTTTTTCATGTAAAGAAGGAGGCATTAAGAGGCCCCATTCTGCACAACAGACAATAAAAATATAATACAACTCAGAAGTAAAGGAGGACTAGAGCAGAGGAGCTCTCACTGTACTAAACAGCCTGTGTTTTAAATCAGAGAGAGTTTGGAGTGTGCTTCCTCAGCTTGCAAACTGACAGCACTCCTTTTACTGAGCTCTAATGAAAAATACGTAGAATTAGAAAAATTCTTTTTCTCACCATTACAAAGAATGTTTTTGGATAAACTAACCATTTTTAGCACATTTGAAAGACAGAATTAGCTAGAGGGGCCTTGTCCATATCACTTATTCCTGCATTTTGCAAAAACATTAAAAGGTGAATGTGTCTTGATCTTGCTAAGAAAAGGAGAAGTCCCTACTACCTTTTTTGATAGTGGAGTGATACCCTCTAGTGGACAGAAATAATAATTTTTACTCAGATGTAATAATTTGTAAGAGGGAACATACTTATTAAAATAGTTGGAAAAACTGCAAACGTGTGGGCATACTCTTCCTTTAGCACCTCAGCAGGATTGTCACAGCTTGTCTACCTCTTCTGGCTACTTAAGGCAGCCAAAAGACAGATATTAGAGCTCACAATTAACATTCTTTTCTTTATATTTTCAAAATGTCATAGCTAGAGAACACTTTAAATTATACAGTTTTTTCCTAGTAACAAATCTTTATGCTCATTTTTAAACAATTTTCTAAAATTATGCCTCTAATTTGGTACGTAGTCCACTGACTGAAATAAAAACAGTGAGTGTTCAAGGGTATGCCTTTGTACAACTAAAGTAAAATTCTGTTTCCACACTAGTGGGGAAGAATGAGCATTTAACCTGCTCACTTTCTGTTAGAAAACACAGCTACTTAATCTGCGGTTTTGATCTCCACAGTTTAGTTCAGCAAACAATAATTCTACATCCCTTGCATGAGGAAAGACCCTAAATATTTTTCCTGTAGTCCCACTTTCAGGCAGCAGCTGGGCAATCTGTAGGAAAGCTTCAGTGAGAGTATTGCTGCTTTTTCAAACCTGTGGCCTTAAAAATAAACTGTGAAAGGACTTTTGTGGCAGCTGTCTACTGAGTAATAAATCTACTCACCAAGAAATTTCCTTCCCTGGTGGACATTTCTCCCATTCTCAGAGGTTGTTTTGTTTATTCTTCATGAATTCTCACTTTTCGTGTTCAGATGTAAAACAGACTGTTGCATCTAATTAGCTAGACTGTCCAGACTCTGATACTCTGGGTAAAGTTTCAGCCTTTAAAATAAGTACATTTCAGTCACCCAAGCAGAGAATTAGTCACTGAAATTAGGTCCATTATTATAAACAACAAAAAAAAGTTTCTTAACAAAGATCATTTAGTCTTTCATTAACAGCTTCCCAATATTTGTTTCTTTCCCCTTTAGTCTGATTTTCACATTCTGAAGCTGCTGAGGAACTTCTTAAGAAAATTAATTCAGGCTCATTTCTTGTAATTCATGTGGGCTTGGCTGTGCATTTCATGGATACTGAAGAAGGACCAGGAAGGAGCTTTTGGGGAAGGACGGTATCATGTTGAGCTAATGAGAAATATCAGACAACACTATCCATCCACCAAATTGAGTCAAAATGCTTTGAGGCTAACAAAGGTCAAAGTGAATACCCAGAATTAATTACGTTGTGTAATAAGTATCTTGTCATGAGAAGTAATCTCACAGACAGGAGGAAATAAATTTTGGAATATCAGGTGATCCCAGCCTGGAGAAGAAGTTTAGGTGATCTAAAGGTGAGGGGAGATTTGACAGAAGTTGATCAAATGACACATGAACTTCAGGCTGTAGAAGAAACTAGTTTGAAAAGAGAATGTACAGAGTGCACAGAGGTGTTTTCTGTGGTAATGGAAGGACAGGCATGGAGGAGCCCCTGCAGATGGAAGGGTAAGAGATGTCTGGTTAGAACCAGGGCACTAATCTTGTCTCTATTGTTAAAATCTATTCATGAATTATAACTGTCCTATGTGGTTTCTTGGCGCTTGCTTGGCTATTCTTACGTCCTTCTAAATGTCTATTCATATTCCTACAAAATGTGGATTCTTGGCAGTTTGCTATTTTGTAATGATTAAGTAGAAAACATATGCTCATTTGATCACAAATGATCAATTGATACTAGTAAAGAGATAATCAATTGATCACCCAGGATTTCTTACTACATTTTCTATTGTAGTATTATTTTGGTGTTTGTAGCATGTGCTTCAGTCACCAATATTTTTATTTACAATTTTTAGCTTGTAATGAACCTCCTCCTAGGAGGGTTAAAGAAGTGCCTACTGAAAGATGGGATAAACCTCCCTATCCACATGGTACTCAAGTAACATATCAATGTCGACCTGGATATATAAAAATTGGACGAATTTTATTTGAGTGTACTGATGGAGCATGGAAGCAACACCTCCCATTGTCAGAATGTAGAAGTAAGTATTTATGCAAAATCTGTGCAAGCATTTGACCTAACAGATCACATTCCTTGCCAGTGATGACGATGTGAAATTGACATTGTATCTTTACCTGTAACTTACTTATTTCAGCATCCTTTAAAATATCATCCTAAAAAGTATGTATGCATAAGGAAATATTTTTGGAGTTTCTCCAGATCAAAGGATTATATTTTTTTTTCTTTACAGGAGAAGATCTTACTCTGGGCCAGCCACATTAACCCGATTTATGTTAAGTTACTAAGTTATTAGGAGCTTGCTTCCAAAATTTTAGAAAAAGTCTAACGCAGATGAAATTTACGGTCTAATCAAAATAAGGCACTAACATAGCTTCTGAAAGCAAGTCAAGGGACAGTATTGTCTTCTTTTAAGTTTATTCAACTAGTTCTAAGAAAGATATAATTTCTTGGAACTGAGAAATTATTTTTCCCCACCTTCTCTTTTAATCTGTGAAGCAAAATTCATTATTTGGATGAGAGCTGCTATTTATTATCTCTAGTATACTGTATTAAGAATTTAGAAGTATCTCACAGCGTCGTACAGAATTCATTAGTGAAGAAATTGAAGTTTATTATTGTTAGTTGGCAGATACTTCTTTTCTGTAATAAATGGGTTTAAAACAAAGAAATTTTAGATGTGAGCTAACACAAAATTTTTACTAGTAGAATATAAATATTTGGTTTGATAATATAGAATTAAGTCTGAGGTGTCATTCAAACAGAGATGAATGCAAATCATAAGTGAAAATGAATTAATGAAGTTGTTACTAGTTTCTTCTACATTTTTCATTTAGTCACCTTTTCAGGTTTTGTATATACTTGTATAACTACTCAGTGAACACAGATCTTTCAAATTTACAAGATGAGGTGTTGCTTTTCAGTACCATATTTTAGTGAACACTGCCACCCAGTGAATGCATACTGGCACTGGCAAGGGGCAGGTGGAAGGAGAAAAGGGTCGGTCTGCCACAGGGTAAGTGATCATGTTTCCTTTTCGGGGCAGGCCACACTAGACAGCAAAAGTGATCACGAGGTGGTCTGTTAATCAAGCTAAGGCTGAGCATTTTGAAATATTTGAAAGGCCCATATTCACTACTAACTACTAGAAAAGTGCCATCTTTCACACTTTCACATTTCTATGTATGGTGTAAATAATTTGGGGTTTTTTTTCTTTTTTTTTTTTTTTTCCTTTTTTTTTCCCCACCAGATAAACCGTGTGGACATCCTGGAGACATTGAGTTTGGTTCCTTTGAACTTACCAGTGGAAGTGAATTTGTATTTGGTGCCAGAGTTGAGTACAGATGTAATGATGGGTAATACTTATTTAATGCGATATGTGGGAGTTAACATAAGGTGTTGAAAGAAGTGTTAGTTATAAATTTGTTGTCTGTAATGCAGCTGCAACTTACTAGTGCTTGGTTATTGTTTAATTTAAATTTCTGCAGCTACAGTAATACTAAAGATAACTCTTTCTCATGTCTGGTGCTGTTGGAGTAGCTGAACTTACGCATCTGAAGCTGTCATCCAAAGTGTCTAAAATACATAAGGCTGTAGCTAACCTAAAATCATGGCTGTCTGAGTAGAAAACAAAAATAGTGATATGTCTGTAAAGCTGCCTTATGACTCCACCAACCAGCCAGTTCAGATGGAAATGCAGCTTTGTGTGCTGGAATCAGTGCTCTCAGGAGGCATCATGATGTGGTTATGTTAGCAAAGTCATTAAGCCATACAACAGTCTCCTGTTCAGAGCCACAACTCATTGTTCCTGCTTAAATCATTTTTGTCCATAAAAAATTATTGTAAAAAATGTTTGAAGGAAGACATTTCTGGTAGAATCACTAACATATATTCACTGACTGTCTGGAAGAAATTATCTCTTCCTCCTCTGTTCATCTTCTCCAATTAAAACTGCCGCAATGCAAATATATAGTACTGTGCTTAGTTAAGTCTGCCTATGCTTCTTGAAATGCACATCAGCTATAAGCATGGTACAGTGGTTTAGCCATGGTTTTGCAGTCTTTGTATTGCTGGAATCTAGTTTGAGTTCAATATCAATCAAAATCAATATTCTTCTTAGTGCCTTGAGTTCAGATAGTTCTTCACTGTCATTTCAAACTAGCTGTACTTAGAATGGCTAGGGCTCGAAAGGACCTTGGAGATCATCTAGTTCCAACCCACCTGCTATGGGCAGGGGCACCCTCCACTAGCCCAGGTTGCTCAAAGCCTCATCCAGCCTGGCCTTGAACACCTCCAGGGATGGGGCATCCACAGCTTCTCTGGGCAACCTGCGCCACTGCCTCACCACCCGCACAGGAAAAAACTTCTTCCTAATATCTAATCTAAATCTACCCTCTTCCAATTTAAATCCATTCCCCCTCATCCTGTCACTGCATGCCCTTTTAAAAAGTCCCTCCCCATCTCTCCTGTAGGCCCCCTTCGGGTACTGGTACTTCCTCTGACTGTGCTTCAGACAAAGCAGAAACCATGGCATTGTGGCCGTGTTGTCCTCAAACCTAAGATAATACTAGCTCATCAAAGGATGAGATACATATGGTTTGGATTAAGTCCTATTTTGATGCTGTCACATGGTTTTCAGTCATACTATAGCACAGGCAACAGGAGTTTTACTCTGCTTGCTATTGATTGCATAGTTTACCCCTAGGTTATTTCTTATGTAGCCAAAGCTTGCTGTCTCTGTGATGAAGAAGCCATCTTCCCGATTACTTCCTACTTTCTTTTTTTGTATTTTTTGCCATATACAACTAAAAGAAACAAAATAGGCAAGAGGCAGGCTAAAAAAATTACTTGGTTTTGTCACATTTTGGTTATTCTGTGCTAGAACATAGGAAACCTACTTCCTTTCCTTCCAAAACATCAGCACTGCTGTTTCTGTCACATAATTAGACTGTATTTAATATTGTTTACTTTTTATTTGTTAAGATACCAGATGCTCAGCCAAAGAAATTACCGTGAGTGTCAGGCAGATGGATGGAGCAATGACATCCCTCACTGTGAAGGTAATTCTTTATCAAACTGTCTTTTTTTCTGTCTGATACTACCTAGATCTAGTCTGTTATCTCTTTCTAGTATTAATTCACATATGTTTAAATTCAAGTTACGCAGCAGTGAAACTCTTACAATGACTGCTCAGCCATTTTAGCCCAATAAGCATTCGAGCTTTTGCTAAAAAGTATTCACGAAAGGGAATCTTGTCACCCCCAGACTGGCTTAAAGCTCTGCCTCACCTAAAGGCCCTGAGAGAGTAAATGTCTGCAAAACATGGTTGCAAAAGACAGATGGGATGAGGCATTTTGGATGTATGTGAAAGCATGTGTGTTTTTAGCTAGTTTCATCCCCACCCTTGTGAATATCCTATCCATTGAGATTTTGTTATAAGTTCTTCTCCCTATTAGCGTACTGTGGAAGAACTTCAGTAAGTAAAAGTGAGAGCAAGAGAGACCCAGACCTCAATACTTAATAGACTGGATGGCTCAGATGATAATTCCCTGATTTTGGAAACCTTTTCACCAGTTTCAAACCTGTATGATTATGAAAATAAGCTTCCTTTCTTCCCAAAGATAATTTTTAACTGGTCTAGTTTAACGTGTGTGTGCAGCAGTGAAAATTTGTCTTTCAGTTAAACATCTAACGTCAGGAAAAGGTCTCTAAGTAAAGAATCACAAATGAAAGTAGATATCTTTCTCTTATCTCGAGTTTGTTGTCAGTGTTTTGACATTTCCTTGGTCTCAGATGTTTCAAATTTAGTTTACTGGATTTTGAGAGTCCCCAGTTTTAGGCTTACAGGTCTCTACCTGCACAGTATAGAGCAATGGTTTCCAACATTTTTTGTCAGGTCACCAAGATACTGCAGTTTCAAAGTCCTCATAAGAGTTTTCTTTCATGAGTGAGGAGTTCTCATTGGGCTGAAATCTGATTGCCTGTGAAAGAAAGTATTTGTACAGTGTCCTAATTGTGAGGAACCTAGAAGATAGGATGTGAGCTCATAGAAAAGGCAGATGGCTTATAAGATGGAGAATGTTGTCAGAGAGAAGTGGGAGCTGTGGTAGGCAAAACACCAGCCACTTTCTTGTTTAGGGGGAAACTACTATCAACAGTCATTCTTAAATGTTCACATAGATATCACTAAGCATATAAAAAATATCTGATGACATATGTTAATTCTTTATTTTTCTGCAGTTACAAAGTTAGGAGTAAATTATTTTGACAAAGTTTAATGGCCCGATGTGTCAGCCAAGGCTCATCTAACCATCCATAGAATTCACAGGATCATAAGATAGTTTAGATTGGGCAAGACCTCAGATGGTCGTCTAGTTCAGTGAGTGCTTTGTCTTTAGCCTTCAAGGGCAGAGAAGATGATGAGAGCTTCCTCCTATGTCAGTCTGTGTTTTTGTTTAGGGTTTTATATTATATTTGTTGCAAATGGTATCTGAATACCTAACAAGAATGTATGTTTTAAAAATGTGTAAGGAAATTACAGTGAATTTTCTGTATTTTAACTTCTTTGTGTGTCAATTTATTTTACAGAATAGACCTCAGAATGGCTGTTTTTTTCCTTTCGTTTTGTTTTATTTTCCAGTGGCAAAGTGTTCACCTGTACAAGCACCAGAAAATGGAAGAATAATTATGACTGGTGCATTTGAGCTGGGCCGAGAATATTCCTTTGGCCAGGTTGTAAATTTTGAATGTAATGCAAAATACAGGCTTGTTGGATCTAAAGAAATAATTTGCTCTTCTAATGGAAGATGGAATAGTGATGTGCCTCAGTGCCAAGGTAATAAGGACACTATTTATAATCTATAATTAAGAAACTTTATTCTCAAAGACTTCTTAGGACTGGTTACCATATAGGAAACTACAAAGCTTTCACTTTATTCCACAGCAACTAAGCACAGTTTGTCTGTAAACAATCTCCGTTGCACATATACAGAAGAAGTAGGATAAGAAAGATTAATCAGAGAATATTGGATGATAATAGAGTCATAATGGACCATCTGTTTGTTCCACATTTTCACTACAAGCAACATGTTTTGCCAGGCTGCAGTCAATTTCTTTGAAACTAGCTTTGGTATGTCTACATAAGCAAGGCCTTCAACACCGTGTCCCACAG